CAACCGCATTAATTGATCAATCTAAATAGTTTTCGTTGAAACCTTCTACTGCCAGGCCACCAAGATTATACGGCTTACCAAAAATACATAAAGTAGATACACCCCTTCGTCCCATCGTCTCTACTATCAAGTCCCCTACCTACAAACTGGCTCGTTTTTTGTCTGAAATCCTGCGTCCTTTCACTGGAAAAACCACCTCTGCGGTACAAAATTCTACTCACCTGGTATCGACAATCAAGGGTATTTCCCTGTCCCCAGACGACCTTCTTGTCAGTTTTGATGTAGTTTCCTTATTCACCAAAGTTCCTGTACCTGACACCATCGCAATCATTGAAGACTTGGCTCATCAAGGACTAAACACTGAGGTACCCCCCCTGGTGAGACACTGCTTAACCAATACATACTTCACTTGGAATGGAACTTTCTACAAACAAACTGAGGGCACCCCAATGGGCTCCCCCCTATCTCCGGTTATAGCTAACATTCTCATAGAGAAATTTGAGACTGACGCCATCCAGACTGCCACTCTGTGCCCAACCTTATGGAAGAGGTGCGTGGATGACACTTTTGTCATCTGGCCACATGGCCAGCCTGCTCTAGACCAATTCTTCGACCACATCAATTTCATACACCCAGCCATCAGATTTACCATGGTAGTCGAAAAAGATGGCAAGCTACCTTTTTTGGATGTCCTAATAAAAAAGAGACCTGATGGTTCAATGAGCCACTCTGTCTACAGGAAAGCTACCCATACGGATGCTTATCTGAAACCGGATTCCCACCACCATCCATCACAGAAGAATTCTCTCATCAAGACTCTGCACCATAGAGCCCAATGCATATCCGACCAGGAACACATAGGCAGTGAACTCAAGCACGTACACCAAGCTCTTAAGGCTAATGGTTACTCCGACTATACAATCCGCAAAGCTATCACTCAAACCATGAAGAAGGACCCTCTTGAGGAGCCTTTCAAAACCATCACTTTACCCTACATTGCGGGGATCACAAAAAAGATCTCCAAAATCTTGAATAAACACAAGATCCAGGTCCGATTCAACACATTACATAAAATCCGTGATCTGGTTCCATCTGTAAAAGATGTGATTCCGGACATACAGTACCCTGGCGTCTACAAACTAAGTTGCCTCTGTGGTAGTAGTTACATTGGAGAAACCAAACGACATGTCTCGGACCGCATTCGTGAACACAAAGCAAACCTTAAACACGGTAGGACCAACACCTCGGCCGTGGCAGATCACTGTTATAATTCAGTAGGCTCACATGACATTGACTTCTCCAAGACAGAGGTTCTTTGGAAGCCATCGGGCTACCATGAGAGATTCGTTCATGAGGCTATCCACATATACAAACACAGAGACAATTTCAACCGAGAAGATGGATTCTGGCTTAGCAATCATTGTAAGGATTTGATCAACCATTTCGGGTCTTAATTGATTGTTCACGCTTACGGTGGCTTTCAGACAGCATACATTAATTTTTCGTCTCCCCTCTCCTCTTTTCCGAACGTAGATGGACTCGTCCTTATAAACAAACTGCCAAATCGCTGTCCGTGGTGCTAACGTTTAAAAATAAATAAATACAAACCGCCACTTCTTTCAAATGTTTCTTGCCGTTGGTTTTCACACCTGATGATGACTGTTTGTGTTACAGTCGAAACGTCGTGAGAATTTTATTGTTTTATATATATTTTATTATTGTATTGCTTCCCTTCAACGTGACTTTACCGAAAGAACCAAGAATATAAGTAGAACGTGTTGTCTATATTTATTTAAAGTTGCGCATTTTGATGTGACGTCACATTTCTCAACCCCCCCCCCTCGTCACATGCCTGACCCCGCCCCCCTAGGTGCGTGACGTCATTTATGGACGGCCCCTAAGCCACTTCGTTGAGCTTTCATTTGTGGCCATGTGGCTTCTCAAAAAGAGCTATATAGCTCAGTGGGCTTTATCTGGTCACGCACCTGGGGGGGGGGGGCCGACCTTTGTGACGATGTGTAACGATGGGGGGGGGGGGGGGGTTGAGAAATGTGACGTCACATCAAAATGCGCAACTTTAAATAAATATAGACAACACATTCTACTTAATTAAATAGACTTTTTAATACATGTTTTCTCCTACAACATCAGAGTGCAGCGCCACATTCAATACGCACTACAATGACAATAGTTTGAAGCGATTTGAAGCATGTTTCATTTGGGGGGCGGGGGGGCAGAGCTTTGTGACGTCATATTTGAGGGGGGGTCTGACTTTTTGTGACGCCGCGTGACGTCATTTATGGACGGCCCCCAAGTCACTTTTTGACAACATTTTTCGTTCTCCGCTCACACATAGGTGTCGATGGAGCGCCACCGTTTTCTCGGGTTACAGTATTTGTGAGCCGATCTTAGCTTTCCAGAATACTTTTTGTAGACACACCTGTACCTGGAATACAGAGACTGAATCAAGACAGACCGGACGTAGTTCAATTTCCAGCAGTATTTGTGACATTTAAGCTTTTCAATAACAATGCTTGGTGGCGCTGCTGTCGGTGTTGATTGTAAGAGGTTGCAGGGACGTGGACATCAAGCCTGTGATGGTCTTGTACAGCTGAACCACGGTGCCATCGCCGGTCTGAGTGATAGCACGCTCAGCGCCGCATCGACATGATACCTGCAGGGCCGGTCAGAAGCAGTTTGCATCAAAGGTCTCCCACGAATGGCGTTCACAAGTCTCGTACATCAGCGCAGCAAACGGCTCAAGGTTTATGGACCACTGCACAAGTCGGTGGTCGAACAGACATTGATTGCTCGATGGCCTTGACTGAGGGCGCCTGTCATTCCGCCCTCATGGATCCCACCAATATCTTCAGTGTGGTTATTGACACGCTAAGACTGAACGTTGCAGAGCACTTCACAGAATAACACGCACAAGGGCACGTTGCCCGGTTGACCCAGATGGATGTTCAGGCCGCCGGTGATGACCAATGGCATTGGCCTTAAGCTTTGCATTGAACTGCCCATATAGGACTCACCACTGTGATCTTTACATTGGGTCAAACTTAACATCTCTTAATGTTCGACGGCTTGTGCACCAGATCTTATTTATTCACGATGTACTTGCAAAAAAATCCGCAGACTACCTACTGGATCTCCTCTCTGTTTCAAAGAACAAATTTGACCTCAGGTCTTCGCTCATTTACCAGCTTCACATTCCCTATTGCCGTACAAAAACCGGAGGAAGGGCCTTTGCTATTGATGCCCCCAGGGTCTGGAATGCTATTGCCAATAAATTGCAACTTGAATCACTACCTATGAGATCTTCACTCAAAACTGCTCTAGAGGAGTTGTACACCCCTAGCTGCCACTGCTATTCAGTGACCTAAAATGTGGCTCTAGGGTTTGGTGTTACATGTTATTTATGTAGTTTATTGTTAAAAATTCGTTCACAGTCCCTATGATCACTGTTACATTGCATTTATGGCTTTTATTTTGGTGATTTCGAAAACGTTTTTTTGGTTTTGGCCATGTGTTTTTTTTATTGTAGTACGGAGTTGGACTGATGGCCTTAATCTTAGTTGTCTTGTGGTTGTTGTTGTTGTTTGACTTGCATCCCACTGGGATTTTTGCACACAGCGTTGGTGTACGGTGCTATTTCAGGAATATTTTGATGTTCTTTTTCCTGGATTTTCTGTTTGCACAGTCACATAATCACTTTAAGATGTCTTCTTGTTCATGTTTTTGTTTGTTGCGGTTGCACCCGATTCAAGAGCCGAATGGCTCACAGGGCTATACCAAATAAATGGAACTATGGAACTATGGCATATGTCCATCGGGGGGGCTATTCATATAACCAATGCAATAACTTGCCCATACAACATTTTAATCCATATGGTAACCTAGAAACTCAGTGATTGTAAACAATGTGGTTTCCAATAGTAACCAGCGAGCACAAGCAAATTACGTCACACGTGTACAGCGCCCGTTACTTAGCTAGTTAGGAAACCTCACAAAATGGACAATTACCGTAGTTAAAATATGGACGTTGATTAATACGTACATTTATTTCTCAGAAAACCATGTTGGGTCAGTGCAAGGGGGTTACTCGGTTACCTGCCCATACAAAATTGGTAAATTCATTCGGCACATTTGTCCCATGTGACAACTTGATTTGCTTGGTGGTGTTAGGTGGTGGAAGGCTAAGTCTCTTAAATTGGCATTATTAGCAACGTTATGCCATTGGCACACCACAGCAATGGAAGTAGAGTCAACGATGCAATGAATGTATGGGAACGGGAAAAAAAGGAAAGGGGAAATGGAAGAGAGAAGAAAGAAAGAATGAGAACTTAAGAGGGAACAGGGGATGGAAAGGGAATGGAGAAATGGGAATCAAAGTGACAGGGCAGACGAGGAAGGGCCTCGACGCGTCTGTTTTTACAGGGGGTGGCAGGTAAAGGGAGGGGGCCAGAACTGGGGGCGTGGGGGAGGGTGAGCCACACAGAACTCACGTGATTTACGGGAGGCTTGAGGCGATTTAGATACTGCAGAGATGTAGATACATAGATGATTGAGGAGTGATTCAGAGTGTCGGTTGGGTCACACAGAAGTCGCGTGATTTATGGGAAGCTGAAGCTGAGTTAAAAGCGTAACGATAGCGTAGGGAGCACGGGGTGCCTTTCCCTCCCCCCTGGTGGCCAAAGCTACGATTTGGGCCCCCCTTGACAACCATCATGAAATACATTTTCAACAACAGTGTAAAATAATAAAAACACATTTAAAACGCGGTTTAAATATAAATATGCATAAAACAATCTTTAAATTACGTCCCACGTTTGAATTTTCATTTAATTAAAATAAAATATTAGGGACCCCACCCCACCCACCTGACCGATCGCCGCGCCCCACCCCAGGCGCTCGACGATTGCTCTGTCGCCGGTGACCGAGCGCTCGACGATTGCTCTGTCGCCGATGACCGAGCGCTCGACGATTGCTCTGTCGCCGATGACGAGCGCTCAACGATTGCTCTGTCGCCGATGACGGAGCGCTCGACGATTGCTCTGTCGCCGATGACGTTCTCCCGAATCAGCCCGCGCGTCGATAAGGAACTCGAACCGCCCCCCCACCACCATCGACAGCTTCCCGCGTGTTAATGTTAATTGCCTTCGCTATTGTTACTTTTGATATTGTCGTTATTAAGCGGCGCTCGTTTTTCTCGCTTACCCAAAGAATACATTCAGTCAACGTTAATACGGAAAAAAACAACGGCTTTATCTGGCTGCGGGCTGGAGTGGGTGAGTTTTTGCGACGATTATTGGCGTTCTAAGCGGGGGTTGCCTAGGCCTGAGGCCTGCTAGTACGGTTGAGTAATAACACAATTAAACATTGACAACAATAATACTAATTATCAGCCGTGCTCTCTCTCTTTATGAACTGCTGGGTTAAAGTCTTCCTTTGTCCGTTGCTATATCTTGCAGATGTTAATACCTACACAATTAGCCGATGTTATAGCTCTCATCTCCGCCACTGGACCGGCCGCTCTTATAAAATGTATATCCTGTTAAGGGTTATTGTCCGAAACGTCGCCTATATATGCGTGTGTTTTTAAGGCCGCGTTGTTGAGGAATGTATTGCCTTTTGTATGTGCTTTGTGCACCATTGCCAACGCAACTTAAAAATATATACCGGAGGAATCCGATGAGCTATAAAGCTCTTTTTTCACGTCTCAGTAGGGGCACGGGGTCATAAAGTTACAACAAACAATACTGAAATACGATAGGAGTGCAAAGTATAGATAAGGTAAATATTTTAAAGAATATGCAAATAAAGCTAAACAATATACATTTTTTTTAAACGCCCTGTATTTTTTTAACTTACCAGGTAAAACCTAGCGCTGAGCTATTAGCTTTTGTGTGGTGGATTTTTAGTGGCTAAGTTAACTTGTTTTTTCTTCAAAAATCCAAATGTATTTCTACTGGACGAATCCGATGAGCTATGAAGCTCTTTCACAAACGTCAGAGGGTGATGTTTAATGATGTCATGGAATTTCAGCGTCTTCTAGGGGATATGACGATGAAATTATTATCCATAATAGAGGTTTTTTGGGGTTAGATCGCGTAAATATAAACGTGTCGTTAAACCCGCCACCCGACAGCCAATTAGTAAAGGTTTGTCACGTAAACAGAACGTGGCAATTCATTACTAGTTCAGCACACCGGTGTGTTGGAGAGTCCAATTCGAGTACGACGTTTCGCCAGTGATTACAACTAGCATCAGGAAATGTGTCGTTAAACCTGCCACCACCACCCAACACAGCCAATTAGTAAGGGGTTGTCACGTAAACAAAAGGTGCTAATTTGTTACTAGTACAGCATGCCGGTTGTGTGTTGGAGAGTACAATGCAATGATTCATCACGTGTTTTTTGCCTTTTATTAACAGTCAATGTGATGTTTATAACTTTGGGATTTCCTGATTCACGCGTTAAAATTCTTGTTGTCGGCATCACATGCACACCTCCCATTTTTGTATGCAGCTACAGGTACTCTACTTACGAACGAGTTAGGTTCTAGAGGTCTTGTTCGTAAGTCGATTTGTTCGTAAGTCCCAACTTTACTTCTGACGATTCCAAACATGTTGTACGGCATGTACACAAAAACACGGGTCATGGCATTAAAAATTGTATAATCTGTAGATGTAATTGGCTCTTCACTTTCTGCAGGTGTAGATGCCACTTTCTTCACATTCTGCAGATGTAGATGGCACTGGTTCTTCACATTCTGCAGATGTAGATGCCACTGGTTCTTCACGTTTTGCAGATGTAGATGCCACTGTTTATTCATGTTCTGCAGATGTAGATTCCACTGGTTCTTCATTATCTGTAGATGCTGCTGGTTCTTCACGATCTGCAGATGTAGATGCCACCGCCGCCATCTATAGCGCGGCGGTTGATCTTATAACTCTTGGTCCGAACAGGCAACTGGAGGTATGGACCAAGTTTATTCGTATCTCTGAAAGTTTGTAAGTAAAATTTTTGTAAGTAGAAGAGTCCCTCATGGGACCTCCTTTGCCAGTACCAAAATATGAGAATAAGTTTTCCCCTTTCATCTGGCAACAAAACAAAATAGGAGTCCCTGTCCTGCGCTCGGCTCGGATTATTGCATCGCATGATCGGTGCAAGATGGCAACAGGCTTGAGTAGGCCTTCATCCAACGGTGGATAGATCCGGGCCAATGCGAGCTTTTGAACAATGACAGTAAAATAAAGTATATATTACTAGCAGGAAGTACCCGGCGTTGCCCAGGGGAAGATTTAATTCAAAACTTATCTTCTCTTAAAAACATAACATATTAATACACAAATACTAAGCTATTGTGAATGCCCAGCATTCCGTTTGTCCATTTGTCCGTCAACAAAATGATAAGAGGCTTGCAGAAGTCCTGAATTAAAAAGTAATAGAAAGTGGGGAGTAAATAGTTGATCTAAAATGTTTCCAAAAATTGTCGACCCCCCCACCCCTCAAAAATGTTTACCTCCCCATAGGCATTTATACCTACACACTCTACATACAATAGTGAGTAATATCTAGTGAGTCTAGCAGTATTTGGCTCTACAGTAGTATATATTGACTATAGTAATATCTACTGACGCTATAGTAGTACCTGATTGTAGTTGGAGCTACTGATTGTAGTTGGAGCTACTGACCGTAGTAGTACTTACTGACTCTACAGTAGTATACTAACTCTATAGTATCTGCTGACTCGATAGTAGTATCTTCTGACTCTAGCAGTATCTGCTGACTATTGCAGTATCTACTGACTATAGTAATATCAGCCAACTATAGTAGTATCAACCAACTCTATTGTAGTAACTATTCACTCGTATCTGCTGAATCTATAATAGTATCCACTGACTGTAGTAGTAACTACTAACGCTATAGTAGTATCTGCTGACTATAGCAGTATCAGCTGCCTATTAGCAGTATCTACTGACGCTATAGTCATATCTACTAACTCTGCAGCAGTATATACTGACCATAGTGGTATCTGCTGACTGTAGTAGTATCTACCGACTCTACGGTAGTATCTACCGACTCTATAGTGGTATCTACCGATTCTACAGTAGTATCTACCGACTCTACAGTAGTAGCTATTGACTCTACAGTAGTATCTAGTGACCACAGTAGTATCTACTGACTCTATAGCAGTGTCTACTGACGCTACAGTAGTATCTATATCTCTAAAGTAGTATCTACTGACTCTACAGTAGTATCTACTGACTATAGCAGTATCTACCGACCCTACTGTAGTATCTACTGACTACAGTAGTATCTACCGACTCTATAATAGTTTCTACCGACTATAGTCATATCTATCGACTCTACAGTAGTATGTACCAACTCTATAGTTGTAACGAGAGTGGTATCTAGTGACTACAATATCTTCTGACTGTTGTGTAGTATCTATTGACTCTATAGCAGTACATACTGACTACAGTAGTAGCTCCTGAGTCTACAGTAGTACCTACTGACTCTACAGTAGTATAGACAACTACGGAGCATTGCGCCGGTGAGTCAGGGAGTGCCGTGGTGTGGCCTAGTCCCACGGAGTGTCGCCGGCCTCGGCTAAATTGCCCAGCCGGCCGAGGTGGCATCTTGGCTGGCTGGGGCTGGGCTGCTACCCCCCCCCCCCCCCCATCATCCCCCGGTTGCTCTACAGTAGTACCTACCAACTTTACAGTAGTATCTAACAACTCTATATTAGTAACTGCACACATTGGGGTGTTGCGCTTCTGTATTTTTTCTTCGCCTTTTTAACGCGAAGGAGAACCTCTCACCCATCGCCGCTGAGCGAGCTGGTGTGCGTTGCTAGGGGCAACCGCGAGTCAGCGTTTCCACGCATGCGCAGATGCGTGCTTTGGCGCCACGATCAGCGTAATATAAAGTGTGATTTAATTAGTTAAAATTTGACGGAGGTGAAAAACAAAGCGCTTTTTCGTCCGGGGGCTTAATGTGTTGAATCTGTGTACATTGTTGAAATGTAAACCCAACAGTTTTTCAGTTAAAAGCGTTGCAAGGCGTGTGCGCAGACATATAGACCGAGAGACAGATAGACAGACAAAAAATACTTTTATATATTTGCACAAATACGTGCGGTTGTCAAAGTAACAAATTGAGTGTGGAGCTGCACTCGTCTTTATTGGCGGGCCCTGAACAATTGGTGGAAGTTCCACATTCTCAGGGCAGGGCTGTTCCCGTCCATAGGACGATCACTGTTGACTTGTCACCCACTCTAATGTTGTGGTTTTTTAAAATTCAGAAACGTCTCACAGTCTCAAGACTTTTTCAGGAAGGTCTTGCATTAGGATGTTTGGGCAGCTCCGTTAATGAGCAACGTACAGTAGACACTTGATTATCCACACTAATGACTGGGAGGACGGCCGCAATTTCAAAATCTCGATAATCCAAAAATAGCCATTTTCCTCGGATCTCTATCCCAAAAGCCACTAAATTAGGTATCAATTATGTTTAACTTAACAAAATTGAGTTTGTTACCGAACAAAACAAATGTGGAGGAAAATAATGTATTGATCTAGATTTGATCTAGATTTGAAGTTTTCGTGACTGCAGGGATCCATGTATTGATGCTCGTGATCAGTGATAACACTTTCCTGCTCCCATGCAGAAGACTCGGCCCACTAAGTGGATGGCAGCAGAGCCACGCCAATCAAAATCAATCAAACTCCGCCCACTGTTGTAAAGATATGCAACTACTGTACTGTAGAGGAAATTAGGTGGATTACGGTTTAATCGCAGCACATAATTGTTCGGTTTAAGCACGTGACTTGTAATACACATTTTCAAGAATAACAATTTATAACTGTTTTTAGATTGTTAATTTGGGCTTAAGGGAAAATCTATGAGTTATTAATTTGTCAATCACAGGTGCAGAGTTAATCTGCAAATTGGATAAACCGAACGCAGGTAATCGAAAGTCTACTGTACATCAATCAACGTATGCCACGGGTTTCACAGGTGACAGGCGTGGGCGATGGAATGTGACCGAGTTGTCTTGGCCTTGAGCCCAATTCTCACGCACAGCCCTTTTACCAAACCACTGCTGGATGAGGGCTGTCCCATGCCGTGCATGTGGGGGGGTGGGGCGTGGGCGTTATTTGACCATACTTCACCTAAGGTGTCCAATATGCAACAATCCATGTAATGCCTCATTTCACGCGGGCTGAATTCATCGCTCTGTTTCTCAGGCACGTTCTCTTAGGACGTCCTCTCAGGTATGTTGCCTTCTTTAGCTCAACAACCGGCCATTGTCCCTTCTAATGACATGCTCTGCCCACACCAGGCATCAGGGTGAGGGAGTTCCAGGCTGACGGTGCAGGTAGCGAACGAACGAGGTCCAGTTTTTTCTGTCGCGGTGTGTGAATGCATGTCCATGAATACCAAGCAACCGCCAACAACATAGTGCTTGGATTGGGAATCGTCATCACGATGCATGGGTAGATAACCATAGTTGTCCACTGCACATTTTGTCATTTGTTTTGTAATTTCCTCTGGCTTGTGCCAATATGCTCAAGGTAGTGCCACATCTTTCTGGCACCAATCTCTTTATGTCATCGTGAAGCCATTCTCTTTCCGGTTCCTTCCATTTTTCCGAGCAACACACTTTAACATTTTCTCCTGGTGACCATCCTACATGTGTTCAATAGATAATAACTAATAATTGAATTGCATTGCGCAAGGTCATAGCAGCTTGGAAAAAGAGACTATGGTATTTAATTCCAATGTCCAGCAGCATGATTAAAGAAGCAGAAAGAGAAATATTTTTACTTCCTGAATGGTTGTTGAACACATTATGGTGCTGGACAAGTTTTTAGCATTTGTAGAGGAAACAATGAGTGTAATGTGTACACTTTTCAAGTCTTAAATGTACGCATTCTTGTGTGGTATTCATCACCAGCAGTCCCGCGCCATTGCTGGAAATTCCACATCCGTATGGTGGGACCAGTCTTTCCTGAGGAAATAATATTAATCTGATAATATGTCGCTTAAATGTTAACCGTTGCTCGCATTCTACTTCTACTTCCGTCTCTCCAGGTCTTTTAAAAAATGGCATGTGCTGCCACTGCTTCCTGGAGCGAGGACTTCCCGGCGTGGCTGGAGGCGCAGGGCGTGAACGCGGAGGTGGCCCAGGCCATGGACTCGGAGCTGGGCATCCGGGACTACGGAGTCCTGCGCGCCTGCGTCAGGGACGGCCTCGTGCGGGCCGAGTTGTTGGCCACGGCACGCGACCGCCTGCCCTTCGGCTTCTACGCCGTGCTGCGGCAGGTGGTGAAGGCCCTGCAGGGCGCCGAGCACCATGATGGCGAGACGACGGCGCAATCCGAAACAGCTGCTCTACGCATGGACCTGGTGCTGAGCAGCCTGGTGGATGTGCTGGTCGCGCTCTTTGGTGGCCTTAGCCGGGAGCTGTCGATGTCTATGGAGAAGCTGGGCTCCATGGATGTCGCTTATGTGGGGGGTTTGTCTACGCCGAGCAACAGCGGAGGCACAAAGTACAGACCACCTGAGGGTGATCATCTCACGGCAAAGCTGCCCAATGATTATTCAAACCACAGTGAGTGTTGTTTCTGCTCAAAGAGCTCTGCAGTCCATTTGTTTTTGTGACGCAGAACAATTGTGCTTTGACTTCTTAATTCCAGTATTTTTCCCACTCATGTGGGCTTTGCCATTCTGGTTCTATCGTTCCACTCATTCAAGTCCTGGGCCACATCCACTCCAGAGTTCTTCAAATCCTGGTTCAGCACTTGGAACCACCTCTTTGTCTAGGCCCGCCTCTCGGCGTCCGTCTTGCTGCTCCCATGTTCCTGGTGCTTCCCATGCGCTTAGGGGTGACACATGGTGTGAACCATTGCACTGCTATCACATGCGTGCGTCTGTTTTCCATCGCACAAACTCACAGCTTCCTGGCACAATCGCTACACATGCTGTTACGTATTCAATTTAAATGTCGTATACAAATTTCTATTTTTTACGAAAGGTGAAAATTCTCCGTACACATCGTGATCTAGAGCGCTGTTTGTGATGCATGTAAAGGGAATCCGTTCAACAGGTGAAGGTTAACACACGTGTCTTGTTCCCTGCTACACTCAGATGACACAGGCGAGTTCACAAACGCCGAGGACGAACCGTCGTCGGCAGTCGAGGAGTTTGAGGAGCGCGACTTTAACGGGGAATCTGGTGGGTGCGAGGTCATGGCGTTGCCGGTGATTTTGCTTTCAGCCTAAGGTTGCCACCTTGTCCTGGTTTTCTCAGAATCACCCACTCTTGTGATGTAACTAATGTTACTAATGTTATATCACCATACCTGTCAACCCCTTATCAGTGCCTACCTTATTACATACCAGTTCAGACCGTATTGGTCACCCCGTGCCTTTATGAATCTCAACGTTCATCCGACAAAGTCCAATCACAAGGGAGAAACACGAACAAATGGATAACAAATATTTTTGCCCGTATTGAAACATCTGTAGGCCGTATGGACCTGAACTCAATTTCACTGTACAAGAATACGGGTAAACTGTATGGGTTGACAGGTATGCATGACTCTTTTGATGTAACAATAAAAGTACTGGATTTTGTCAATTGCATAATAATACACCTCTCAAGAAAATGCATTTTAAAAAGGGAAGAACATGTAGCTTGGTCTCTGATGGAGTCTGTAGGCAATGGCCAGACTCATCAGTTTCTAATGTAGTTTCTAGGCACTGTGGCGAGATGTTAAGTACCTCGCCCGGGATACAGGAGGCATGGGTTCGATTCCGACCCTGACACATGTATATTTGGAGTTTGCATGTTCTTCCTGTGGTCGCGTGGATTTTTATCCGGGTCCTCGGGTTTTTACCTCCACATTTATAAACATGGGCTGAAGAGTATTTGGCTGCTATAAATGTACACGTGATAAGCCAATTTGTTGAGCTATCATTTGTGATGGCCAGGTCACTTCTGAAAAAGAGCTGTATAGCTCAGTGGTTCTTACCTTTCCCGCACCTCCGATTAGCACCGTTGGCTACGTACGGTGCGAAAGAAGTTCAACATGCATACACTACCTTGTAAAATGAAAATTGTTTGATAGTTTAGTTGTATGTAAATAGCACGCACGGGATCGCTTTGTGACGCAGTGCTACCGGTTGCTGTCTCAGCAGGGGAGGTGCCGGAGGCATCAACGGGCGGCGTAGCTACAGGAATTAGGTCGGTGGAGACAGGGGTCACCGACCAGCGCTCGTGGTACGGGGTGAAGATGGAGGCGTGCGAAGGTGACGCCGCGTGGCGCTACCGTGTCATTTTTTTTCTGAATAATCCTACATGATCCAAGCCCGTCGCCATCTCTTGCAAAAACCTGCGATGTAATGGTCCACGTAACACACAAGGGCTCATCATTGCTGCTTATTCTCTGTGTACATCCTCTCGGCATGTACTCTTCTTTGGCTGCTGCTCCTTTGTTATGCTCGCCAAATGGCCACCATCGCTTCTCGTGACACACCCTGCAGATGAACACGATGTCTTTCAACTTTTATCTGTATTCTAATCGATGTTTTCCTCTTTTGTATGTATATATGTAGAACTTTTTTCGCACCGTACGTAGCCAACGGTGCTCATCAGAGGTGTGGGGGATGACAACTAACTAAATACAAAAAATAGTTCTAAAGAAATTATTTTTAGATTTAAAAGTGCGTTGCTCTAGTGGCCTATTATTGAATGGAAGAGCTTTTCAGACGTCTTTGTTTGATGGTAAGCCAAAAGCCGCTGCTATGAGGATGACCCGAGTTCGCGTGATGGTTTATGCTCCTTCACAAGATCAGCAAGGTATTGTCGTTCATTTGTGGCAAGCACTTTCTGTGTAATGAGCGTGACCTTATAATCTATTCATTCGGCAACCAGAAGGCAATGCAGCTCAGCGAGTACTGGACGGACATGGCCGGATCTTGCCAGTTCCCGTCACGACACGTGCCAAATAATTTTGTACAGTTGTGGTCCACCCCGCACAGACGATGGCGATGATGGCAGGCCGACGGCTCGCGCTGCAACTCGCCCGCCGCGTGTCGGTTGCAGATGAGCGAAGCGCGGCGGCGGCGTCGGCAGTGGTGGCGTCGGCGGCGCATCCGCCGTCTCGACGGGGTGCGGAGGGCGGCAGCCGGCGTCTGTCGTGGGGGGAGCCGGGACACCAGATGGACGCCGCCCCCCTCAACGCCCCCGCGGAATCGGCCGGCGGCAAGGGTGGGGGCTTTGGCCTGGCGAGGGGTGAGCATCTGCGGTGGTTGTTTTAGTCGGCTGGTTTTGTGTTTTACATGTGTATGCGTGTTTGGACTTGGACTGGAACATTTCAGAGGACGTTATTATGTAAATGTATGCAAAAAATAATCGTACATGGCCTCGAACAAAACACAGAACAATTTCTATTAAAAAAACGACTTAAATAGTAAATACACTCTGCGTGTGTATATGCACAAGCGTCGTATGTATGCATGTTCAACTTCTTTTGCACCATACGTAGCCAATTGTGCTAATCGGAGGGTGTGTGGGGGGAGCGTGCAATTCTAGCAGCATTTCAAGACAAGCATAATTCTGGACCGGAGTCGGTAAGCTTGATTGCTGATGATGTGTAGTTGTGTGTGAGTGGTGTTATGTATGCGTGGGGTGTTGTATATATGTATGTTGAACTTCTTTGGCACTGTACGTAGCCAACCGTGCTAATTGGAGGGGCGTGGGGAAGGACAACAAACTAAACACAAAAAGCAGTTTTGAAAATATTAGTTTTCGATCTAGATTATTTAAAAGTGCATAGCTCCAGTGGCTTTCTGATATCGGAAGGAGGAGCGTTCCAGACGGCCACGGACTTGTCTGTGAAGTTTGTTTTGGAGTTTTAATGGTAATCTTCGTTCTGTTGGCGACAAACCCATGAAATATTAGTTAAATCTTAGTGTATGAATTTCGTTTTGGTCATCGCCTTTGTCGAGTCGACTAAAGCAGTCAAACGTTTAGTCCATTCACTTGTTAAACGTTGGTGCGAGTGGTGCACACTTTTTTCCTCCACCCCTCTAACATCGTCAGGCCAGCCCATAAATTGAACTCTGGAAATCTTTTCAAGTGTTTGGTCTTCCTAAGTGCACTGCAGTCTCTAATGATGTTAATGAAATTATCTCGGTCTGCTTCTTCATTCAAGCTCGTTTGTATCATCTCATCATTTACGGTACGGTGGGAAGTTGACGTAGTCTTTGTCACGCTCTGATTTTCGTCCACTCAGTTATTGCTGACTACAATAAAAACACATTTCCGTCAACAAACTTCGTTCACAAAATTAGCGCAAGCGATGCATTGCGTCTGAGATAACATCCGTCGAGACGTTGGAGCGAAGCGGTCAGTGTTTCTGTACAGATGCTCGACAGATTTTTGCATTGCAGGGTCATGAGAGGTGGCGTCAGCGGCCTTGGAGGTGCCTTCATCCAGCAGTGGATTGATCATAGCTCATGAAGATGATGGGATGGCAGGGGGAGAGTCTAGTACAGACAGCGCACGGTTGTGGCGAGAATGTAATGGGGGTGTTGAGCAATCAATTCAGTAAATCGGTGTCTCCTCGAATCTACCGAGGGCATCCATTGTATAGATGTACGGCCCTTTTGTCAATCAACTGATGCATCGTGAGTGGTGATTATTTCACCATACGCTGGTTAGTTCAGGTTGGTGAAGACGGGGAGCATAGACATGACGGCAATGGATATTTCTCCACGTTGCTTTGCTGTCCGCTGCGTAGCACAGCCACCAGGCTGGCTTTGGCACCATCCAGGCTCATACCTGCTTGGCTTCCGAGATCTGACGAGATCATCAGCATATTATTTTTTTTGTAAATGAAAAATTTTGCAATAAGATGGAATATGGCAACTGCAATGATGAGGAGTAATTCTCTGTCGAATGTTGTAGGTGAAGCATCATCGCTGGAGTTTGCGCCGGGAGGAGACGAGGGCAACCACGCCAGCTGGCAGGGGCCGGCAGACCCAGTGGCAGTGGCAACGACCAGCACGCAGCACCCAGGCAAGAGCACAGAGACACACGGAGACACACACGGGAATGAGCGGGAACACATGGAGACATGCGGAGACACATGGGAACGGTACTGCGAAAGGCAGGGATGTGCGGGGATATGCGGAGACATGCAGCTAACATGGACACGAGCAGATGAAGAGACCCCCAAGAGATTCCCTGAGAGACGCAGACTCGCACAGCAAATTGGAACATGTAGAGACAAGCTTCGACATACAGAAAACGGGAACAATATCGAGACATAGAATACTGAGTCACATAGAGACCCACGGCGATGTACAGTCAACACGGAGAGACGTATGGGATATGCAGCGCACCGGGGACATATGAGGAGACGCAGAGACATGTGATGCCCTGAGACACACGGGGACTGGTAGAGACAACGCACAGCAGGCTGAGACACAGATGCGCAGGGTGCACTGGCACACACAAAAATGCATAGGGTATACATGGGGAGACACAGGAGATGGGGGGACACAGGGACATGGAGCAAGTGAACCACGTGAACATGCAGAATACATAGTATCAGATATTTGTGCACTGCATGTTAAACTTTGTGCGGTATATAAGGCTGGTAAACATACATACTGTCTCTTCTTATAGGGCATTTACACTCAATCGACGGGAGACCATTTATTTCTCACCATCAGCCTTGCCCGGTTTAAAACCACGAGCACATCAACACGCGCGTATACTCCATTACATATACCAGCAATAAACGGTGGGCAGTTGAATTCTTTTCAGCTTTTCTATGAAGAAAGTCGCGTCACACGGTAAGCCACAAAGAGTCTCTGCTTCCAGTGGTGTGACTCGAAATGTGCTGCTTGTCAGGGGTGTGATCGGGCATTGCAGTTGCATTTTATTTTTTCAGCAGTTCATGGAGCAGTGGCAGTCATAAAACAACATTCTATTGCACCCGTGTGTGATTTTTACAGCTTTGTATTAGGCGTCGACGACATTGTATTTATGCGGGAAAAACCCGATAGGCAATGAAGCTCTTTTTCATTTGTCCAGCCCAACACTGGGGTCGACAATGTTGGAATGTTGCAGAGGTAGATATGTAGATGGATACATAAAATAATCGTGCGTAGCCTCGATCAAAACAATAGAACTATATATAAAAAACATCAATAGTACAATAACAATTATGCAAAGAAGGTATAAATACACTCGGCGTGTGTGTGTGTATATATGCGCAAGCGCCGTATATTAGAATCAGAATATATATTCATACTGGAGGAATCCGATGAGCTATAAAGCTCTTTCTTCACCGATGTCCAGTAAGGGCACGGGGTAAGAACGTGACAACAACAAACAGTACAAAACATGAAAGCTGTGCACAGAAAGGTAAACAAATCACCAAAATACATAAAAATAAAACGAAACCATCCCCATCCTACCAGGCAAAGCCCACTGAGGTTATTAACGTATTTTTCAAAAGCGACCTGGCCACAAAGCGGCCCTTAATTTAGACATTCATAGCACCAAAATAATCCAATTCACAATGTATGTATATTTAACTTATTTCGCACCATAGCCGACCGTGCTAATCGGAGGTGCCGTGGCGATACGGTGGTTATTGTGTAGCGTAGCTTTACCAACTTGCATAGCTTATTGCTTGAAAATTAAAAACCAGGGCTCCCAAGAACCTGTTGGAAAAGTCGCGTTCATCTCATCGACTGCATTATGCTGTGTGCATCCAACTTTGTGAGCGCCTTTGTTAAATAATAATGATAAAAAAACGAGACTTTGCTTTCTGGGGAGGGCTTGTGCATGGTGGCGTTGAAATATCGTTTTTAAATTACTTTTCCATCGTGCCACTCGTATCCTTAGCACATTTGCACCCTCACATCCATCCACCAGAGCCTCTTCATCTTGTTTCTTTTATTCTTTGAAGTGAAGATGTCTGCCCATTATTTTTCCAAATTTCTTTGTTTTGCTGCTTTTTCGTTGCAGCATCTCATGTCCTTCATTGGTCACTTGCTTGCGTGGGCCTCTTTAAATAGTCCGTAGCAGATTTTAAAGCTCTGTGCTGGTAAGACGCCTTTGTTGGCCTCAATGGATCATCGGCAAATCGCTTGGTGGTGCCATTGTGGTCAAGCTTGCGACCATCCACCTGCGTAGACGGTGACTTGTCCGCTGTGACATGTGATGCGGTTCATGACTCCCACGATGCACTGCGATTCCTTTTTAAGTCGTCATGTGTCTTGTCTGAATGACAATCACTTAAAACACATTGGCTTAATACTATATGACACCTTAATATACTTTGTTGGCCTTAAATTGTTCTGTTCTCGAATGTTTTTGTGCAACATGCCTCCCCGGCGTCTTAAGAATGTTTGGTTTGCAGATGCGCGGAAACTGTATATGTTGAAATTTAATTTAACTTTTTAGATTAGTTTGAGCTGTCCTGACATGTGTATAGGTATAAGACTTCTTTCCTTTGGCATTTGTGGCATTTGAAAAGCAACAGACGAGTTTATAAACGTGTGATAAGTTTTTAAAAGCCATTCCACGGCAGTAGGTATATATACGTGTGTGTGTGTGACTGAGCCAGAAGGGGTGTTTTCAGTCACTCAACCTTTCTATTACCAATTGCCGCCAGTCACTCAAAAATCAAGCTTCAGCTTTGGCACCCAGCTCCACTAGTTTTCGACTCAGTGGCCTTGGGAAGCAAAAGCTAACTCTCACCTTGACAGAAAGCTACCATGGGCATGTGGCGCCCCTCAGTTTTTTTTCTTTTCCATCGCTCAGTTTATTTCGTCAAACGTGCTTCCCTGCGGGTGCGCACGTGCACCAGAGCTTCAAACGAGCACTCCGGGGAACGAATCGTGCACCTGTGGAGGGGGGAACGGGCTGAAGACGAAAAAAAAATAACAAACAGAACACATGAAGACACGTGGAATTTGTTATTCGGTGCTCAAAGTGCACCAAGCTCTGGGCGCAAGCATAGAACGTGGCGATCGGAAGTAATCTCCGAAAACCTCTCAAGACCGGGACGCCACGACATCACGCAAATCTATCACCACTTGCATCATCTGAGCACTGTGCTAAGGCTCAGGCCCAGGTCAAAGAGTCCCTGCTGCCTTTGCAAAGATCCCAAGCTTTACATTGCAGAGCTGCGCTCGTGTGGATGACACCAGCGTATCCTGATGTCGCACGCGATTGCGGTGGCAAGCGCCTATCTTTACGCCTTGGCTGTGGATGTTGTTCGTCTGCTTCGCGTAACAATCTCGGCGGCGATGCTCCACTTTGCATTTGAACAGATGAAGTGCCTCTTGGTACTTCACATTTTTTCACGGGGACTTGGTAGAGGCGCAAAATACTTCCCGGTATGGTGAAATGTCCATCCGGCAGGAATGTTGCCCGGCAAACATTTGGCCCTGCGTGGAATAGTGTGTCCGAACGCTGCTGTCTTCAAGAGACGGAAGATTTTTTTGCGGCCGTGCTGATTGAGGGTCTGGTTTTTGCAAGACAGGCGTTTAGTATTTGTTGCCGAGCAACGGTTTGTTGAGGTTCCACGTGAAATCACATTTCACGAATTACCACACTGGCATGTGATTGGATGTCATTTTTCAAATGTTTTAAAATTTGTATTCCATTATTTTGATGTTGCTAAAGGAATGAGGGCTTTACAACCTTTGCGACTTTGCACTGAAATTAAGTAAATGCATGCGTGAAAACCCACCTCTCCGTGGTGACTTAAAACAATCGCTCCCCAGTATGCAAGCCCAAAGCGCACTTGCAGCACCACTTTGACGTCGGAATATCTCACCTGCCGAACATCATCATCTTCATCTTCGCCAGCTGGCCGTAAAACTAAAGAACCCGAGCCCTTGCTGACGAATAATAAACCAGGCGACAATAAAAGAACAAACAAAAAGAGTCAAACAAACTAGCCCGCGAGTTGGCGTTGCACCCCGGACCGGCGGGTCTACGCTGCTTCTAAAGTCTGTCCAATGTTGTCTCCTGTAGGGCAAGGGACGCCATTGCATTCTGGATTCATCATCCAGGAAGTGACGTCACTGCAGGTGTCCACCACCCAGCGCACTCGAGTCACGAGGGCCACTAGGCTGCCCGCCAGGCCGGTCCTGCCGGCGAGAGGCAAACTCCAGTGCAACTCGGACGACCCATTAGTTTCGGCGGCAGCAACCGCCACTGACCCCGCCGCCGCCAGCGGCACCAGAATCTCGGAGAGAGGAGCGAGGCCCTACACGGGCGCGGTGATGGCGCCCGCGCGGTGGCGGTGGCGCGGCAGGAGGGCGGGCGCCAGCATTGGTGCGAGCGGCGACGTCGGTGGAGAGCGGCGGCACACGTGCGCCCAGTGCGGCTGGCGCTTTGCGCGCTCGGACTCACTGACGGTGCACATGCGCACGCACACGGGCGAACGGCCGCACGTGTGTGATGTGTGCGGGAAGGCCTTCTCGCACCGCTCGAACCTCAAGTCGCACCGGCTGACACACACAGGCGAGAAGCCGTACCGCTGCCGCTCGTGCGACCGCGGCTTCACACGCTTCTCCACACTAAAAACGCACCAGCTGCGGCACGCCGAGAGGGACGTGCTGCTGCTGGCGCTTGGACGGCACGACCGTGGAGATGAGGTGGGGAGAGAGGAAAGGCGGGTTGATGAGGTGGAGGAGGAGGAGGAGGAGCCGTGTTCCACGTTTTATGCCGATGTCGACGTGGCGAGCATGGAAGGCGGGCAGAGGTTCGTAAGTCCGTGAGGTCGGCAGAACGAGGAATGTTTTGCTTTGGTGGGGTAAAACCGGGGGGGGGGTGCCTTCTGATTGTCCCATGGAGAGACTTTTCTGCCAGAGCAATGTGGAATTTCGATGACTTGATCAAGAGATAAGAACTGCCCGATGTCCACTTAAGAGGACAGACTCGCTGATATTGGTCGCGAAAGCCTACGTGTTAAACAGATTCACTGATGCGCTTCTTACCTTGCTACGTTGATGAAACATTCACTGGGGTGGTGAATTGTCATTTTAAGCATTGAGCTATTTCTTTCAAACCAGTTTAGGATTTTGTGTGGATGATTCTTTTCCGTAACATCAGGCCAGCCTGTAGCAGTGTTTTCATAGGGCAGCAGGCCCTGTTTATGAGAGTGGTAGAAGTTCAAACTCGTCAGAAGTCTGAATTTTTTTTCAAATAAAGACCATAGGTGAGTGTCAGTTTAGCTTGCCAACTTGTTAGTAGGTTTTAATGTAATTTTTGTTTTGTTCAGCCACTGATAAAATAACCACCTGTGTTAAAGTTCATCGGGACAACAACGACGATGATGTTGATGACGGCAATCGTATAACGATGTTGACGATCGTTGTCAGTGTGACCAAACTATTCCACTGGCATGGCTTAGAACTAACCGCCACCGCTCGGTACTGCACCGTTGCCTATCTCCAAAAACGATGGTGTGCTTCTTACAGCCTGATGAGAATATTGACATCAAAGTTATATTTTTGCTGTCGCCATTGTACCATGAAGGAGAGCCATGGTGTGAACCGTCGCCTATTACGCATATATATCGGTTCCCTTTAAGGCAGTGCTGTTGAGCGACGAGAGTGTTGCTGATTGCTTATCCACCACTGCCAACGCAGCATAAAAAAATGCATGTAATTATTATCCTGTTTGCTTAGCGGTGTTTGCCGACGCAGTCGGACTTTGGAGAAAATTAGTGTTATTGGTTCTTGCTAGACAGACTTGCCCAAAATCCAGGTTCTTCCTCGTTTTTTTGTTCGTCGGACTCACGGGTATATGAGTGACACGCGCATATCGGACGTGCTAAACTAAACTCTAAACGATTTTTTATTGAGCTATGCAGCTATTTTTCAGAAGCGACCTGGCCACAAATGATAGCTGAACAAATTGGTTTGTCATATGGAAATCAATAGCAGCCAAATACTCTAAAACATGTGACGTTGATTCTAAATGTGGAGGGAAAAATCTGAGGACCCGGTGTCAGGGTCGCGATCGAATCCGCGACCTCCTGTATACGAGGCAGGGCCGTTAACGTCTCGCCACCACGGCGCCCATGCGTTATGAGCCGCATTCGTTGCCAGTGCTCTTCTGCGTACGCTTGCTTACATCTGCGTATAATCGTATGTTGCGTATACACGTGCCCAAATGTCAGCAGTCTTCAAATGTATTTTCCGGAGGGCCACACAGGTAAAATGTGCCAGCGGGCCACTTGAAGTCACATGTCATGCGATGTGCTTAAAGTCCTTGTTTCACGGGCACAGATGTTACGAAATCTTGTGGTGTCCTCGACATCATAACATCTGTATGTGACCCTTAATCTATACCTCTTATGTCCGGGTCTTTCATCTCTTCTCTAGTTAAACTCGCAGATAGTAATCTTTGTTACTTGTCGACAACTCCCTTATCTCTGCATCTTGTTTATCACACTTTCATCTCACTTATCTGGATATTTATAGCTCGGCGAGCCATATTTCTCGGTGAACTTGAAATGCCTCTACAGGCCACATCTGGCCCACGTACTGCCATTGAAGGACCGCTTTTTGCGTTTAGTTTGTTGTCCTTCACCACCCCGCACCTCCGATTAGCACGGTTGGCTACGTACTGTGCGAAAGAAGTTCAACATACATATGAAGTACCCTGCTGAGAGTCTGAACCTGTTGTGTATGGTCTCGCAGCGCAATTTCCCACTAAGTGTCGGCGATGTCGCCAGTGTTTTTGTGCCGGGCTAATTTCGCTCTGGATAGACGATAGATGGATAGATATGTAGTGAACATATCGACAATGCACGCACTTGCCTGAACATCCTTGCACGTATGGTGAAACCTTAGGAAACTTGAGCCCAGCGTGTATTTTTTTCTTATAATAATTGTGGGCTCTGAAAGGTGTACTGTACTGTGACTTTTAACAACATGATACATGTTCTTTTTCATGGAAAAAAAGGAAAAGTTTTTTTTTTCTAATTACAGCAGACTCTCGCTTGTCCGTGCGAATGACGGGGAGGATGGCCCTGGATAATTAAAAATCGTGGATAATCCAAAAATATTCCCATTTTCCGCGGATCTGTGCCAAAAACACTAAGTTTTAATTACCGACCGATGCACGTGCTCAGTGATAACACTTTCCTAATCCTGCGCAGAAGACTCTGCCCACTAAGTGGATGACAGCAGAGCCACGCCAATCAATATCAATCAAATTCCACCCACTGTTGTAAAGATATGGCAACTACTGTACTGGCGATCACGTGAATTTAGGATTAACAGCGCATATTTGATCGGTTTAAGTACGTGACTTGTAATCGCCATTTACAAGAATAACAATGCACAACTTTTTTTAGATAATGTATTTGGGCTTAAGGGAAAATACACGAGTTATTACTTTATGTCAAAATCTCAGGTGCGTGGTTAATCCACAAATCGGATAAACCGCACGCGGATATTCGAGAGTCTACTGTAAATATGATTTTACTTAGTTTGTATTAACTGCATATGAAAAAGTGCTGCCAGGGTCATGTGACTGGGAGAAGCCCTGCCTCATTCTCATCCATTTCACACAATATTTATACTGGAGGAATCCGATGAGCTATTATGAAGCTCTTTTTCACAAACGGCAGAGGATGGCGATTGATGATGTCGCAGACTTTCAGCATCTCCTGGGGGGTGTGACAATGCAATGATTCATTGCGTAGTATCGATGCGACACGCATTGAATTTTGTGTGCAAGAAGCCAACTCTTTTGATGAATTTCCATTGCACGTAGTGGATTCACGCGACCCCTCCAGCCACTAGAGGCCCCAATACCTTTCTCTGAAATTAGATGGAAAAGGAATCGACCCTGAATTGTGACGCTTCATAGAATGAAGGTGGTGGATAACAGGTGGGCGGGTTGATCCCAGATAGCACTCCCATTCCATGTGATGGGTTGGGTTGGTTGCCACAAAACATGAATCGGCAAATGAATACTAACACAGAAGTCGCAGAAATTTTAGGGAAAAGTATTTTAAATATGCAATTAGCGTCGTCTTTGGGAGGTAGCCTTCATCCAGCAGTGAATAAATAATCGCTGGCAATGAGGATACAATAATTCGTTATCACTCTGCGACAAAAACTTGTAATACTTGAGAACCTGATTTAATATTAGGTGACCCGCCGGGAATCCAACCTATGTTTTTATAGGTACTGGTCTCATTGTTCAAACACACGAAACGTTTAGTGCTCTTGAGCAGCCCACCCTCTTATATGGTGTTGCCATGACCGCTTAAAACTGGAACGGCCAATTCTAGAACTGGTACAAATGGGCTTGAGGCAGTCTTGACTTGCTAAGCGAGTTGTAACCGGGCCATGCTACTCACTTACGCTGGGCCACTTGGTTGTCCTTAGCAAAAGGGGGCCTACCCACTTTTAGCCAGGCCACCCTCAAAATAGATGTAGAGTTTTCAGGGTCAGCTTCAGGGCCTTAGTTTGTTTTTAAAACGTGGCAGAAAATTGTTAAAATATTTTCCTTATGGTTACCGTAAGCTAATCTAGGGGGTCGGCAACCTGCAGCTCCGGAGCCGCAACGGCTCTTTATGAACTGCTTTGTGACGTAATTTATGTACGTACGTTTGTATGTATTCACATGCATTGCGGAGCTCTTAAAATGTTGAGTTTTTGTACCGAAGTCGAAAAAAAGTCTCTATTTTTGTTACAGACCCCCGAGCTAAATTCTAGAGTGCGTTAAACGTTGGTTTAAAAAAAAAATGGTTTCCCATTCGTTGTGAAAGGGAGGGAAAAGTGGATGGGAAGTGAAGGGTCTTAACTCATCGTGACAAACTCATGGGATAGGAAATGAATCGATCAGTACCAAGAATTGTCCGGCGCGGCTTGATTCCGTTTTTTCTAATTCTATTTACTGTGGAAACGCAGCGTGCTGTAACACGCACGGAGCGAGTGAATGCTGTTGCGGGTTATCGGTTTGAAATTATTAAAGTGTTTACGCGTACTACTTTTGGCGATGGAACCTTAACTTTTGTATCGCCATTTTTTGAAGGCTGAACGTGTGTACTGGTATGATATTGCCCAAGGACTTGTTGTCACTTGGTTAATTTATATAACAAAAACATTCTCTCTTTTTTGCCTATAACATGCACTTGTGTTAAGCTTGGAATAAAAAGTGTTCATTTGAAAGTCCATTGTTGAGTGCGATTGAATGCACGGGCTTTGTTATACCGCGGCATTTGCGCCCATTGAACCCGGGCACCTTTTTCTAGTGAAGCCTTTTTCGTGACTTCCCGCAAGCACTGATGAACCACCATTGTCGGACAACGGAGAATGCAAGCCATTAGATCTATTGCAACAACGATGGTGTCCCTTTGTGCACGGTTAGGCTGGACAAGCAGCTTTGCTCTTTACTTTAAGATGGCCCTGGGGAGGGTGCTACGTTTTCGAAGTAAGCTGGGGTCAATGAGGGTCAAAAGCAGGAAACATTAAAGTACGGTAAGCAATGTTTTTGTACTGCCCTTTTCCGCCTGCCGCGTAACCCCCGGAGCTACCTATATCAACCCGCCGGGATCGGATCTCACGAGAGATCCGAGTATATTCTAACCTCATTTAGTCAAAGGCACTTTATCTCTTTATTAACCCTTTCCCGTTCCGAGACATCTGCGAGTTGCAGGCTGTGGGTGTCCTGTTCACGTCTGAATCTCGGAACGCGCAAGCGGCTCGGCGTTATTTTTATTTGGATGAGCATAGTAGTGCCGTTGTTTTTCAAGACATTGTTCCTCACTGCAGAGAACCATAGCGACATGACCGTCAGATGGCGGAGCCAGGATTTCAGGCCGGGGTGACATTCAACAAATTTTAATTTCAAGAATGATTAGAGAGTCGGGCTGTTGAACTAGACGCCATCGGTTGGCGACACGCTCTGATAATGCAGTTGCACGGAGTCCGCCAGACCGAGTGTCGTACACTTATACGCAGAATGTCACCCCTGTCACCCCCCCTGGCTCTGCCCCTGATGACCGTACTCTATGATAGAGTACTGTGCCACATGGCCTTGTGGGAGCCTCGGTACCAATGAAGTTATTTTAGTTTTTTGTGTACATCAGAACGAAATCGCAACAAAATCTGATGGTGTACATGTACGTCATCGGAATGGGAAAGGGGTTAAACATTATTTAGCAGCGATACAGCGTATAAAGAAGCGCTGCAAATATTCTATAATTTTTACCTACCCCTATATTTTATCATGAACTTCACTGGCATGCAGGTAAGTACAACAGCAACGATGAACGCACGCTTTCAAGAAACTCTTGCAAGCAAATGAACGAATAGGCCTTGAGACGCTTGTCTAAATTCTGCTGGAGTTTCCAGAGTACCGTGTTTTGGGTAGAGTTATTGTCCATTGGAGATGCTGCTGGCCTTCCATTCAGGAATGTGAACTCTCCATCACTGTCTCAGGGCTGCTGCCAATGATGAAGATGTGCGCAGCCCCATATTCCCTTGGGCAGAAACACCCTGAACATTACCCGAGGAGGAAAATGTAAACCTGAATTAAATTCGAGATGTCGGTTATTCGAAATTTTTTCGTGCCTGGCCTGCGCTACATGCTGGAGGAAAGCCACCCTTAATGCAGATTTCCGAACCTCTTACCCTGACGATTGGAATTCTCGACGTTGCAACAACAACATGTAATTTTTACTCCAACCATAAATCCGTGCGGCTTAATTAATCTTTCACACTTTCTCCTGTAGGTGAAAGTGTGGAAGGCCGCTCAGGTCGCCTCCCCTCCTCTTCCTCCTCCTCGTGCTCCTCGTTCATCCAAAACACGCCGATGAATCGGGACTTAGGGACGCAGCGCTCGCAAGCGGCAGATGCCGTCGGTGGCGGCACCTGGTGGCCCCCCCAATCGGCGCGAGAGCACGGCATCCCTAATCCGGTGGCACCGCTGCTGCATCCACCACCACGACCGCCAACACCACCGCCGCCGGTGCCATCGGCGTCATCGCCACCGCTACCGCCACTGCCTGGCACCTGGAACCCGCTAGGGGCGCAGCACGAGTGCGGCGTCTGCGGGCGCGCGTTTGCTCAGCACTCGTGCCTGCGTCGCCACCTGCGCACGCACGCCGGCGACCGCCCCCACCGCTGCGTGGCGTGCGGCAAGACCTTCCTGCAGCACTACAACCTGAAGGTGCACTGGCGCACGCACACGGGCGAGAAGCCGCATGCGTGCGCCGTGTGCGGCCGGGCCTTTCGCCACAGCAATGGGCTCAAGCGGCACGAGCGAACACACCGGGAGGTGCAGGGGCGCGTAGCGGCGTCATAGAGAGTCTGCGTGGCTCGCTTGAAGAGCCCCCCACCCGCGTGGAGTTTACCAAAGTCGCTGTGCCGCTTGTCTTGAAAAAGGATGCTGTTTGCCCCCGAACTCGGGAAAAAAAACGGACAAATGAATGGCTCTTCTCCGATGTGTTTTCACGTCACTTGGCATGACGCGCGCGATGTTCCGCTCCACGTTCCAGGAGCTCGCCAGAAAACGTAACGGCATGTTAAGGACGGAAAACAAGACTTTCGATGAAGTCTGGTGGCGTCACATGGATTCTGTTTGTACCTCCTGCAAGGGTGCTTGTGTCGGCAACGGCCGGTGACGATGTTTGCGATGGATCGCACTTCTGTGGTTACAATTAGGTGATTCTGTAACTCCTCCACTTGTGGAGGAGGTAAGTGCACTTCCCGTGTGCAGTTCTAACGTAGCATTGTGTGCATTCCCGTGCTTTCGAGATGGGGAGGAAACTGAAAATTAGAAGGTCTCAAGTTCAAATCCTGGTCAGGGTGAGACTTGCCGCATCTGTCATCTTTTATTTCAGGCCTGATTAAATAAGTCTTCCTTTGTGGGATGATGGCAGTTGGGTGTCATGGTGGCGAGATGTTAACTACCTCGCCTGGTATATAGGAGGCCGTGGGTTCGATTTCAACCCTGACGCCTGCTGTTTATTTGGAGTTTGTCTGTTAGCCCCTTTGTTGCGTGGAGTTTTCTCCTGGGTCGTCCAGTTTTTCCCTTCACATTTAGAATCAACATCGCGCGTTCAGAGTATTTGGCTGCTAGAAATTTCCAAATGATTAAACCCACTTTCATTGAGCTATCATTTGTGATAGCCAGGTTGCTTGTCAAAAAATACCTATATAGCTAAGTGGAGCTTTAACTGTTAAAATTAAAAAAGTAGTTTATTTTTTTTTACTTCAATGTCTGGCACCATTCTTGCTCATGGGCCATGAACCAGTCATACTACAGGTCGTTTTGTGGCCAAAGTTAGCTGCGGCTGACTCGTAGATAAGCATGCGTAATATTACCATAAATCCATGATTAGTCCACTTTTTCGTGGGCTTATCGACAAAACACCGCTGAAGGGGGGGGGGGGGGTGCCCATTTGAGAACCTGTGAATTCCCCATTCAGCTCGGTCCCAGTTAGGGGAGTAGTGCCTTGAATGAGGAAGAAGGGGGATTGATTGAAGTGCCATCTGGCCCACAGAAAAGCTACAGGGAAGTGAGTACCTGTCAGGTGAGCCTGGTAGCGATGACCACCATCGTATTTCGGATATTTACATACACACACGCATATACTATAACAAGTAGAGAGGGTGCACGTTATTTCTTTATTTTTACACTGGCTCGAGACGTATCAGTGAGAGGTGAGCAGCATGTAAGCCTACGTTGGAATGCAGAGACACTTTGATATTGGCCACCGGGCCGGTTCGTTCCCGAGCAGTAATGCACCTCCCGTGCCCGGTTTCTATCACAGAATCTTTATTTTAGACCGGAGGAATCCCGGATCCACTCCGAAGCTCTTTTGTGCATAGATGTTCCAGCGGTCGCGTGGGAGGAATCCGAGGTCCGGAATCATCCCCCCCTCCCCGTGAAGGCTACTACTGTGGGGGGAGATCTGAACTGAGCCGACGAGGCCCATATCACAGGGGGAGTGCAGATGGCCATCCCCCCCCCCCCCCTTGTGTTCTCGATTGCCGATTGTGTACTGGAAGTCATGTTGAATTTGTGTTGTGTAATATCTCTCCGCTACTGTAAACGTATGTGCAGGTCAATGAGAGAGACCAAGAGAAATAAATCATGAGATAATAATAGGGTTTTTCCCCTTTTTTCTGGCAACAAAACCGAAAACTTTTTACAAGGATTCATGTCTGCATTAACCACAATACCTGCAGTCAAAATGCAAACAAAAAACACAATATGATAATATATGCATTGTCCTTGAAACTGATTGGTCCACACCAAGGGACCAATCATAGTGTGTTTTTTGTTTGCATTTTGACTGCAGGTATTGTGGTTAATGCAGACATGATTCCTTGTAAAAAAGGTTTCAGTTTTGTTGCCAGAAAAAAGGGGAAAACCCCTATTATATTTCGTACTGGCAAAGGAGGTCTAATGATGTAAATCATGAGAGACCGGAGTATTGAGAGGTAGGTCCGTTGAGAGACAGGGCTATAGAGAGACAGCTATAGAGAGACAGGGCTGTAGAGAGACAGGGCTATAGAGGGACAGGGCTATAGAGGGACAGGGCTATAGAGGGACAGGGCTATAGAGAGACAGGGCTATAGAGGGACAGGGCTATAGAGGGACAGGGTTATAGAGGGGCAAGGCTATAGAGAGACAGGGCTATAGAGGGACAGGGCTATAGAGAGACAGGGCTATAGAGAGACAGGGCTATAGAGGGACAGGCTATAGAGGGACAGGGCTATAGAGGGACAGGGCTATAGAGGGACAGGGCTATAGAGGGACAGGGCTATAGAGAGACAGGGCTATAGAGGGACAGGGCTATAGAGGGACAGGGCTATAGAGAGACAGGGCTATAGAGGGACAGGCTATAGACGGACAGGACTATAGAGGGACAGGGCTATAGAGGGACAGGGTTATAGAGGGGCAAGGCTATAGAGAGACAGGGCTATAGAGAGACAGGGCTATAGAGGGACAGGGCTATAGAGGGACAAGGCTATAGAGGGACAGGGCTATAGAGAGACAGGGCTATAGAGAGACAGGGCTACACGTTGCTCACCGCAGCTACAAAACATGCTCTTGGTTGCACCGGAGGCTGCACATTTTTTGACGCTTTAAACGTGAAGTACAATAAAAAAAACTTTTAAGAGGTTGCAAATGTTTCAAATCTTACAGAACGAACACC